AGCTCTCCACACCTGGTGGCAGAGCCCTCCACACCTGGTAGCAGAGCCCTCCACACCTGGTGGCAAAGCCCTCCCACACCTGGTGGCAGAGCCCTCCACACCTGGTGGCAGAGCCCTCCACACCTGGTGGTAGAGCCCTCCACACCTGGTGGCAGAGCCCTCCACACCTGGTGGCAGAGCCCTCCACACCTGGTGACAGAGCCCTCCACACCTGGTGGCAGAGCCCTCCACACCTGGTGGCAAAGCCCTCCCACACCTGGTGGCAGAGCCCTCCACACCTGGTGGCAGAGCCCTCCACACCTGGTGGCAGAGCCCTCCACACCTGGTGGTAGAGCCCTCCCACACCTGGTGGCAGAGCCCTCCACATCTGGTGGCAGAGCCCTCCCACACCTGGTGGCAGAGCCCTCCACACCTGGTGGCAGAGCCCTCCACACCTGGTGGCAGAGCCCTCCACACCTGGTGGCAGAGCCCTCCACACCTGGTGGCAGAGCCCTCCACACCTGGTGGCAGAGCCCTCCACACCTGGTGGCAAAGCCCTCCCACACTTGGTGGCAGAGCCCTCCACACCTGGTGGCAGAGCCCTCCACACCTGGTGGTAGAGCCCTCCCACACCTGGTGGCAGAGCCCTCCACACCTGGTGGCAGAGCCCTCCACACCTGGTGACAGAGTCCGCCACACCTGGTGACAGAGCCCTCCACACCTGGTGGCAGAGCCCTCCACACCTGGTGGCAGAGCCCTCCACACCTGGTGGCAGAGCCCTCCACACCTGGTGACAGAGCCTTCCACACCTGGACCTCACTCGGACGAGAGTTGTGGTATTAATACAGAATTTGATAAAGACAAAAGATGGTGTAATATCTTCCCATGAAGACACACCTGAAGGCACACACCTGCAGATCATCAATCACTCCCCCTCCCCACCTCACCCAGGCGGCAAATGAACCACAACTAATTTACTAATGATATCAATTTATAATATTAGATTGTTAAAAAAATGAATTCGAGGTTATCTAGGTGAATGGCTGCTAGGTTAGCTGCCGCTAGGTTATGGACTTTTGCTAGGTGAAGTATTGCAAGTAGTGTTAGACTAGGTGAAATATTATTTGATAAGCTTGCTAGGTGAGCTATTGCTTGGTGAGGAATTGCTAAGTGAACTACCACTAGGGAAACTATTGCAAGGCAAGCTGCTGCTGCTAGGTGCGCTATTGCTAGTTGAGCGAAGGCTAGGTAAACTACTGATGGTTATAAGGCAGCTGTTACTGGGTAGTAACGCCACGGACTGAATGCAACCTTCGGTATAAATAATGTACATAGGCAGAAACATGTCCAGAGGGAGAGGGAGAGAGTATAAACACAGGGACACAGCGAGGAGAAGAGGGAGGGAAAGAGAGAAGAAACAGGTGAGAGAGAGAGAGAGAGAGAGAGAGAGAGAGAGAGAGAGAGAGAGAGAGAGAGAGAGAGAGAGAGAGAGAGAGAGAGAGAGAGAGAGAGAGAGAGAGAGGAACAAGTTAGGTCATACCGTTGAAGCAGGAGGACAGCAGGGGGCTGTATGGAAGTACCATCCCCGGCAGCTACAATGGTCTTGACCTCTCCAGACCATTAAGACAACCTGGAGGCTGTACTTGAAGACGCCACGTGAGGTACAGGATTCATTTCACCTGATTTATTGAGCTGTCAGCCAAGAACAGTCATTGTAACTGTACCTTGACCCGCTTCTAAACACTTCAATGGTCTTGCACTTGACAGAGAAAGTTGGACTCGAAGCCTGAAGTGAGACGTCTGCTGTGAAGGGCAGAGCGCACCTCGTCTACGAGGCGACAAAGACTGCCTCAGGGCTGGCGCAATAGTTTGATCTTTGGTCTGACTGACTGATATTCCAGTGTACTCACCTAGTTGTACTTGCGGGGGGTTGAGCTTTGGCTCTTTGCTCCTGCCTCTCATCTCTTAATCAACTGGTGCACAGATTCTCTAGCCTATTGCGCTCGTTCATATCAGTAGAGTAATTGAGGACTAGAACCGTCCCCTTCACGACTGCCTTCTACATTGTATAGTGCAAGCAATGATGCAAGCAACATCCCCCATGTTGTTTGCATCTATATAAAATATATATATAATATATATATATATATATATATATATATATATATATATATATATATATATATATATATATATATATATATGCAGAATAACCACATATGAAAAATAGAAAAAGCATTTTCTATTTTTCATATGTGGTTATTCTGCATACTTGGATCAGTGTTTTTGTGATCATTGTTGCATATATATATATATATATATATATATATATATATATATATATATATATATATATATATATATATATATATATATATATATATATATATATATATTATTAAATATGACCGAAAAAGTAAGATTAATAATTCTAACACGAATTTTCTCAATCTTTCGTACATTTCTTTTCACTGTTGGTGGTAATTCAAAAATCAATTCTCCAAAATTCATTTTTATTTCTAGTCTGACGCGACACTTGAGCGCGTTTCGTAAAACTTATTACATTTTCAAAGACTTTAGTTTACACATACACAACTGAATAGAACTTACACATCTCCGATTTGTTTATATCTACATTTTAGTGAGGTGGATGGGGTGAGGTGGTTTTAATAGGGTATTAAATTCATCAACACAAGACAGAACAGGAAACAATGGGTATTGAATGGAAGTGATTGTAGAAAGCCTATTGGCCCATATTTCTTGATGCTTCTATATTGGAGCAGAGTCTTGAGGTGGGTAGAATATTTAATATTTAATAGAATATGGGTTTTTCGGTCATATTTAATAATATATGTCTACAGGAAAGACTGCTACCAATATATATATATATATATATATATATATATATATATATATATATATATATATATATATATATATATATATATATATATATATAATATATAATTACAGAGAAATACACAGAGAAATGGGAAAGGGCCAGCACACAAACAACAAACAACTAAGCCAGCACAAAAAAAAAAACAACAAACAACTAAGCCAGCACACAAACAACAAACAACTAAGCCAGCACACAAACAAACAACTAAGCCAGCACACAAACAACAAACAACTAAGCCAGCACACAAACAAACAACTAAGCCAGCACACAAACAACAAACAACTAAGCCAGCACACAAACAAACAACTAAGCCAGCACACAAACAAACAACTAAGCCAGCACACAAACAACAAACAACTAAGCCAGCACACAAACAAACAACTAAGCCAGCACACAAACAAACAACTAAGCCAGCACACAAACAAACAACTAAACCAGCACACAAACAACTAAGCCAGCACACAAACAAACAACTAAGCCAGCACACAAACAACTAAGCCAGCACACAAACAACAAACAACTAAGCCAGCACACAAACAACAAACAACTAAGCCAGCACACAAACAACAAACAACTAAGCCAGCACACAAACAACTAAGCCAGCACACAAACAAACAACTAAGCCAGCACACAAACAAACAACTAAGCCAGCACACAAACAAACAACTAAGCCAGCACACAAACAACAAACAACTAAGCCAGCACACAAACAAACAACTAAGCCAGAACACAAACAACAAACAAATAAGCCAGCACACAAACAACAAACAAATAAGCCAGCACACAAACAACAAACAAATAAGCCAGCACACAAACAAACAACTAAGCCAGCACACAAACAACAAACAACTAAGCCAGCACACAAACAAACAACTAAGCCAGCACACAAACAACAAACAACTAAGCCAGCACACAAACAAACAACTAAGCCAGCACACAAACAACAAACAACTAAGCCAGCACACAAACAAACAACTAAGCCAGAACACAAACAACAAACAAATAAGCCAGCACACAAACAAACAACTAAGCCAGCACACAAACAACAAACAACTAAGCCAGCACACAAACAACAAACAACTAAGCCAGCACACAAACAACAAACAACTAAACCAGCACACAAACAACTAAGCCAGCACACAAACAACTAAGCCAGCACACAAACAACTAAGCCAGCACACAAACAACTAAGCCAGAACACAAACAACTAAGCCAGCACACAAACAACTAAGCCAGCACACAAACAACTAAGCCAGAACACAAACAACAAACAACTAAGCCAGCACACAAACAACAAACAACTAAGCCAGCACACAAACAACTAAGCCAGCACACAAACAACAAACAACTAAGCCAGCACACAAACAACAAACAACTAAGCCAGCACACAAACAACAAACAACTAAGCCAGCACACAAACAACTAAGCCAGCACACAAACAACTAAGCCAGCACACAAACAACAAACAACTAAGCCAGCACACAAACAACTAAGCCAGCACACAAACAACTAAGCCAGAACACAAACAACTAAGCCAGAACACAAACAACTAAGCCAGCACACAAACAACTAAGCCAGAACACAAACAACAAACAACTAAGCCAGCACACAAACAACAAACAACTAAGCCAGCACACAAACAACTAAGCCAGCACACAAACAACAAACAACTAAGCCAGCACACAAACAACAAACAACTAAGCCAGCACACAAACAACTAAGCCAGCACACAAACAACAAACAACTAAGCCAGCACACAAACAACTAAGCCAGCACACAAACAACAAACAACTAAGCCAGCACACAAACAACAAACAACTAAGCCAGCACACAAACAACTAAGCCAGCACACAAACAACAAACAACTAAGCCAGCACACAAACAACAAACAACTAAGACAGCACACAAACAACTAAGCCAGCACACAAACAACTAAGCCAGCACACAAACAACTAAGACAGCACACAAACAACTAAGCCAGCACACAAACAACTAAGCCAGCACACAAACAACTAAGACAGCACACAAACAACAAACAATGACCGACCAACACAGTAAAGTGTGAAGCGAGAATTACTGAGATAACTTATTCATGAATGAGCTCATAGGCTGAATAGTAATGACTCTGAAGGTGTATCGCGGTGTATCGTCTGCTGTATCCTTGCTGTATACTCTTGCTGTATCATCTGCTGTATTACCTGTTGCAGCCCTTGCTGTATCACCTGTTGCAGCCCTTGCTGTATCACCTGCTGTATCACCTGTTGCAACCCTTGCTGTATCACTTGCTGTATCACCTGTTGCAACCCTTGCTGTATCACTTGCTGTATCACCTGTTGCAGCCCTTGCTGTATCACTTGCTGTATCACCTGTTGCAGCCCTTGCTGTATCACCTGTTGCAGCCCTTGCTGTATCACCTGCTGTATTACCTGTTGCAGTCCTTGATGTATCACCTGTTGCAGCCCTTGCTGTATCACCTGTTGCAGCCCTTGCTGTATCACTTGCTGTATCACCTGTTGCAGCCCTTGCTGTATCACCTGTTGCAGCCCTTGCTGTATCACTTGCTGTATCACCTGTTGCAACCCTTGCTGTATCACTTGCTGTATCACCTGTTGCAGCCCTTGCTGTATCACCTGTTGCAGCCCTTGCTGTATCACTTGCTGTATCACCTGTTGCAACCCTTGCTGTATCACTTGCTGTATCACCTGTTGCAGCCCTTGCTGTATCACCTGTTGCAGCCCTTGCTGTATCACCTGTTGCAGCCCTTGCTGTATCACTTGCTGTATCACCTGTTGCAGCCCTTGCTGTATCACTTGCTGTATCACCTGTTGCAGCCCTTGCTGTATCACTTGCTGTATCACCTGTTGCAACCCTTGCTGTATCACTTGCTGTATCACCTGTTGCAACCCTTGCTGTATCACTTGCTGTATCACCTGTTGCAACCCTTGCTGTATCACTTGCTGTATCACCTGTTGCAGCCCTTGATGTATCACCTGTTGCAGCCCTTGCTGTATCACCTGCTGTATTACCTGTTGCAACCCTTGCTGTATCACCTGTTGCAGCCCTTGATGTATCACCTGTTGCAGCCCTTGCTGTATCACCTGTTGCAACCCTTGCTGTATCACCTGTTGCAACCCTTGCTGTATCACTTGCTGTATCACCTGTTGCAGCCCTTGCTGTATCACTTGCAGTATCACCTGTTGCAACCCTTGCTGTATCACCTGCTGTATCACTTGCAGTATCACCTGTTGCAGCCCTTGCTGTATCACTTGCTGTATCACCTGTTGCAGCCCTTGCTGTATCACTTGCTGTATCACCTGTTGCAGCCCTTGCTGTATCACTTGCTGTATCACCTGTTGCAGCCCTTGCTGTATCACCTGTTGCAACCCTTGCTGTATCACTTGCTGTATCACCTGTTGCAGCCCTTGCTGTATCACTTGCAGTATCACCTGTTGCAACCCTTGCTGTATCACCTGCTGTATCACTTGCAGTATCACCTGTTGCAGCCCTTGCTGTATCACCTGTTGCAGCCCTTGCTGTATCACTTGCTGTATCACCTGTTGCAGCCCTTGCTGTATCACTTGCTGTATCACCTGTTGCAGCCCTTGCTGTATCACTTGCTGTATCACCTGTTGCAGTCCTTGCTGTATCACCTGCTGTATCACCTGTTGCAGTCCTTGCTGTATCACCTGTTGCAGTCCTTGCTGTATCACCTGTTGCAGTCCTTGCTGTATCACCTGTTGCAGTCCTTGCTGTATCACCTGTTGCAGCCCTTGCTGTATCACTTGCTGTATCACCTGTTGCAGTCCTTACTGTACCCTTGCTGTACCCCTTACTGTACCCTTGCTGTACCTCCTGCTGCTGGGTGGCAGCTGATGCGACAATCAAGACTGGCGGGGGGTCTACCAGACGACGTTGGGATGACAAGTGTAACTAACGTCCACAGACAATGTTGTGGTGAGGTGAGACGTTAACAGCTGGGCAGTACCCAAATAGCAGCCAGAAAGTAGAAGAAAAGTTGAATCAGAAACAGTTGGATCCGAAGTCTGGCGGCTTCTATTTAAAGATAAGAATGATTATTCGTCTGAGGACACAATCTCCTCCACTAAACAGGTAATTGGATCAGTTACAACCAGTAATTAGCAAAAAGCTGACCTACTGTCGAACTATTTTCTGCCAAGATGCTCCTCCCAGATCCTGAACGACAGCCTCCACATCTTCATTGAAAGACGGAAAAATTTGTCTGAAATGGCCATTCGAGAGATGGAAGTTCACCATCTCCTTTTAAGCATTCGACATTGTAGTTCTGTTGAGATTTTTAAAATACTTCACTCAAGAAAATGAACGCTCACTTGTGCAAATTGTGGCCATTAATGTGGCCCGTGGCACCTCTTGGGTGGCTTAATCAAAAGTCAATCAAATGTAATAACTTGTAAAATAAATACAATGGGACTATACACGGCTCGTGTGATACTATTAACTCTGAGACACTGGGTAGGTTATCTTGAGGTTATCTTGGGATGATTTCGGGGCTTAGTATCCCCGCGTCCCGGTGTTCCAGTAGGCCTCCTTTCCTCCTCCAAGTATACTAAACCATTTAAACTGTCCACACTAACTGATCCCAGAGCGTCTCATTGTTAACACAAACTGCCACAGATATTTCCGTATATTTTAATTACGAGTAAATATTCCATCAAATGTTTACTTACAATAAACTCCCCAAACCCCGTGCTGAGTACACGTACTCCCGCAGGCACGTGAGTACGTGTACTCAGCTAGCGTGTATTCGTGGAGTACGTGTATTCCAGCAAATGTTAAACAACAGCTTACCAATACAGTGTTTACGCTTGGTAAAGCTGCAGCAAAACAGACAAGCATCAGATACAGCAGACTGTTGGTGTTTGCTTGGGCTCACACCAGGCCCTGGGCCCTGCATATATATATATATATATATATACATATCTTGAGGTTATCTTGAGATGATTTCGGGGCTTTAGTGTCCCCGCGGCCCGGTCCTCGACCAGGCCTCCACCCCCAGGAAGCAGCCCGTGACAGCTGACTAACACCCAGGTACCTATTTACTGCTAGGTAACAGGGGCATTCAGGGTGAAAGAAACTTTGCCCATTTGTTTCTGCCTCGTGCGGGAATCGAACCCGCGCCACAGAATTACGAATCCTGCGCGCTATCCACCAGGCTACGAGGCCCCTACTAATATATATATATATATATACATAAACCGTACAAAACCCCTCCAATATAGAGGCATGTAAGTCTGGGCAGACGAGGAAAACCTTCAAGAAATGTTAAAGTCCTCGCCAGAGAGGTTGTCTGTTTCTCTCTGCGGGTCGTTTGTCGCGGCGGCGTCCACGTCTGAGTAATTGTCTTCTGGGATGGTGCCGAGTTGTCGCTATACCCTTCCTCCTCCCTCACCAGGGAAGAGGCAGAGGAAGAGAGGGAGAGAGAGAGAGAGAGAGAGAGAGAGAGAGAGAGAGAGAGGGGGGGGTTGAGGGAGGCTATGGCTGCCTCTGTCCCTCCCTTCCTGTTGGTCTATCTGCCCAATTGTCTGCCCAATCCCCTAGCTTCCTCCTGTCTATCCCACTAGCTACCTTCTGGTCGGATTGCTTGATGGTTTGTATGTGACTGTGACTGGGCCGGGGGGGGGGTTTGTGAATGCCTTCCAGTCTGTCTAACTGTCTTCCTGTCTGTTTATTGAACTGCTTTGCTGTGTGTCTGTCTGTCACCTTGCTCTCTATCTGACTGTCTTCTCTGTCTCCCTCGTTGCCTCTTGTTTGTCTACCTAATTGCCACCTGTCTGTTTATCTAAACGCCTTCTGTCAGTTTTGCTGACTTACGCTGTCTAAGTGCCTTCTTGTCTGTTTGCACATCAGCCCTCCTGTTTGTTGCCTTAGTTTACTTCTGTCTGTTTGTCTGCCTAATTGCCTCCTACCTGAAGGGCGTGGTGACCTTGCCTGGCACTTCTCTCTCTCTCTCTCTCTCTCTCTCTCTCTCTCTCTCTCTCTCTCTCTCTCTCTCTCTCTCTCTCTCTCTCTCTCTCTCTCTCTCTCTCTCTCTCTCTCTCATTTACTCAAATTATATAAAGAGTTGCAGAACCTTCCACAAACACGCCCTCAGATGAGGCGTGTTTGCTTCCCTTCCTCCTCCTCCTCTCCCTTCACCTCTTCCAATTTCTAACTGACCCATTCCCTTTCCCTCCCCCACTCTCCCCATCCCATTAATTTTCTCCCTTACATCTTATACATTCTTTTCCATTTATCCCCCTTACATTCCACCCTCATTATTCCTCCTCCTCCTCCTATTTACACCTCCCCCCCCCCTTCCCGTGGACCATCTTGAATGATCAAGTGGTCTATGATGGTCCCCAAACTGTCCTAACCAGTGTGTCCCTGTTATCATGAACCACGGGCACCTTTCTCCTGTCTCCCTCCCCCCCATCATCCCTTATTTCATTCTCTCCTTCTTCCTTCCCTATTTTGTCCTGTCTTGTTTCTTCCCTATGTTGTGCTCTTCTACTTGTTCTCTACTTTATTCTCTCTTCTTCTTTTTCCCTATTTCCTCCTGCTTCTTCCACATTTTTTCTCATTTTGTTGCTTATTTTTCTTTTCGTTTTTAGTTTGACAAATTTCACGAGTTCCCGGTGAAGTAATTTTGATAATGAGGATCCGTTTTCTGTTTGTTTGTCTGTCTGTCTGTCTGTCTGTCTGTCTGTCTGTCTGTCTGTCTGTCTGTCTGTCTGTCTGTCTGTCTGTCTGTCTGTCTGTCTGCCTCTCTCTCAGTGATATACCTGTGCAACTCCTGCACTGCAAATAATCGTTGCAACACTGTATCAACACACCAGTTATTCTCTCAACAGACAACACACACCTGCATGACACCCCAGCCAACGGTTTCCCAACGTCAAGAAACTGTCGTACTAAAGTGCCCTCATATCCAAACCTTCCAGAGAACCCAAAACAAAAAACGGGACAATATGTCAATTTCGCAAGCCACTGCTATTTTCTCGTACGACGAATGGTGGCCTTAGGTGTGGCTGGCCCGACCCTATACCCATCCTGTGGGTATAGGACACTATACCCATCCTGTGGGTATAGGGCACTATACCCATCCTGTTGGTGTAGGGCACTATACCCATCCTGTGGGTATAGGACCCTATACCCATCCTGTGGGTATAGGACCCTATACCCATCCTGTGGGTATAGGACACTATACCCATCCTGTGGGTATAGGGCACTATACCCATCCTGTTGGTGTAGGGCACTATACCCATCCTGTGGGTATAGGACCCTATACCCATCCTGTGGGTATAGGACCCTATACCCATCCTGTGGGTATAGGGCACTATACCCATCCTGTGGGTATAGGACCCTATACCCATCCTGTGGGTATAGGTCATAAGAATTTAGCTAACTCACCAGGTCAGTCACTCATTAGTTGGCTGGGATCCCCTGAAGACATCTTCTGATTCCATCGTTGATTATTGTACTATATATGTCTTACTTCAGATACAATTATGCTACAGTTATGTGTTAGGCAGACCAGAGGAAGGTAGCAAAGGTTTTACGAAGAACGGTGGCAATTTATGTTCGGACATTTTGTAACAATTACAGGGCGAATAGGATGATTACAGGTGTTCCTGGAGCTGGGATGGGTTATTAAGGCGTACATCTTACAGGGAATAGAAGGAATTTGCAGGTAAACGTAAGAATTATAAATGTCAATTATGGGGTCATAGACATTATTAGGGTCAAGCGAGAGACCTCTGATATAACTGGGATTCTGGCCAGAAGAATGGATATCTAAGGCAATTCGTCTTAACTGACAAATTAATTTATATTGCAAAGCTAATGAGATCTCTTATTGACCAATGGAATAACTTACATGGTAGGTGCACTTAGGATGGTGTGTGTGTGTGTGTGTGTGTGTGTGTGTGTGTGTGTGTGTGTGTGTGTGTGTGTGTGTGTGTGTGTGTGTGTGTGTGTGTGTGTGTGTGTGTGTGTGTGTGTGTGTGTGTGTGTATGTGTGTGTGTGTGTGTGTGTGTGTGTGTGTGTGTGTGTGTGTGTGTGTGTGTGTGTGTGTGTGTGTGTGTGTGTGTGTGTGTAGTGAGGGTGGTAACCCTTGGCTAGTGCAGTAGAGGGAGACGTGTTTCATGAATTAATCAGGTAGAGTGGTAGTTGTCCGGGCCGGTCCTGGTAGGTAGACAATGGTAATGATGGTAACAGTTGTCTACCTACCACTTAATAGTGTAATTAAAGTGTTGGGGTAAAAAAGTCATAAGGTTTCCATCACTAGCCAGGGCTGGAAACTTTTCCAGGCGCAGATCTTCATAACAAAAACACCAATCTATTGCAGGAATATATTGTCGAGCCATAACATATGCCAACTTTCACAGGCATCAGGCCCTCATACAAAGCACATGTAATCTATCCCAGACATGAGCGTTTCATCCCAAGCACACAGACCATCTTCCCAGGCAGCAGGTCTTCGTAACACACACCAATCTATTCCAGGAATCAGGTTTCCATTTCAGGCGCTTCGTTCTTGCAGTAATTTTCATCCCTGAGGATATATTTCCCATTTAAAGCTTCCGTTCCTTATTCCAACATCTTCCCCTTCCGTCTCTCGACACTAAATTTCCTTTCAAGGGCTCCCATCTCAGCATTCCAGCTATCCATATACCTTACTTTTCTTCCAGAACCCGGTTTTCAATTGCAGAAACTCGATTACTCATAATTTCAAGTCTTTTGCTCCTATCTCAAGATATCCAGATGAGACTCCAGCTGTGAATAGCAGGAGCCTTTCTCTCAACTCTGGCTACAGTTTACCCTTCATCTTATCACGTGTTAGTTCCAGATCTACGTTTTTAATTCCTGACAGCCGTTGATTATCTCCCATTCCAGTCACCAGGAATTAATTCCAG